GTGAAAGAAGAAGGAAAGAAAATATTAAGAATGATGGAGAAAAGAGGATTGATAAGGGGGGCAAGAAGGGGGAATTCACATATGTGGGACGAGAAGGGTAAACAGTGATAGATTATATATTGGGGGATAGGAAAGTAATGGATAAAGTGAGAGTGGAAGTGGGAGAGGAGGTGGACTTAGGTCACCATTCAGTGGTTTTATGAATAGAGGGAAAAAAGAGGAGAAGAGAAAGTGTAAGGAGGAAGGAAAATAAGAATAGTATGGGAAGATTAAAATGAAGAAGAAAGGGTTAGATTTAAGGAAAGGATGGGGAATATAAATAGTAAATGGAAAGGAATGGTGGAAAAGTTAGAAAAAATGGAAGGAAGGATAAAGAAAGCATTGAAGGAAAGTGAGGAAGAGAATAGAATGGGAAGAGAAAAGGAGGAAGGTTAGTGCGATGAAGAGTGTAGAAAACAGAGAGAAAAAAATAGTAAGGAAGGAATTAAGGAAATGGAGAAAATGGCAAGAGAGTGGGGAGGGATACAGAGAGAGAAAGAAGAAATACAGGGAGCTATGTAAGATAAAGAAAAGGGAGGAAAGAGAGATAATAGAAAGGGAAGTGGGAGAAGTAAGAACGAAAGGAAGAGTATGGCAATTGATGAATAAAGAAAGGAAAAAAACAGAGAGAATAAATGAGGATATAAAGATAGAGAAGAGAAAAGGAGGATTGATGGGAGGAATGGAGGAGAGGTTGTTAAGGGGGAGAAAGAGAAAGGGATGGAAAGAGGAAGAGAAGGAGCCTGAGTTGGAATAGGAGAAAATAAAAAAAGATAATACAGGAAGAAAGGAAAGGCAATGGGGAAGGACGAACTGCCGAATGAAGTGTGGAATTATGGTGGGAAAAAAATGGGAAAATGGACTTGAGAGGTACGCAGGAAGGTATGGGAAGGGGAAGGGTGCCGAAAGAATAGAAAGAGGCAATAGTTGTGCCAATACTGAAGAAGAGGAAGGGAGACAGGGTGGAGGACTATAAGAGAGTAACATTAATGCCGTCATTATACAAAATATATGCGGCGATGTTGACAGAAAGATTAAGAAGAGAAGAGGTGGAAGGGTAGAAGTTATTGTCAGGAAGTCAGGCGGGATTCAGGAGAGGAGTAGGGACAGTGGATCAGATATATGCACTGAATTATCAAATAAACAGGCAGCTAGTAAACAAGCAAGAAAGAAAATAGGCAGGAAAGAAAAGGAAGGAGATAGTGGTGGTATTCGTAGACTATAAAATAGCGTTTGATTCAGTAGATAAGGGAAAATTGATAGGTGCGATGAGGGAGAGAAAAATAAGGGAAGAGTTGATGAGAAGAGTAGAGAAGATAGTGAGAGAGACAAAAATCAAGGTAAGAGTGGCAGAGAAGATAAGGGGAAAGTTCTGAACAGTAAGGGCTGTAAGGCAGGGGTACCTGTTGTGTCCAATATTATTTAACATATTAATGGCGGACTTAAAGAAGGAGATGGTGAAGGGAAGAGGTGAGGTTGGGAGGGGGAAAAGTGTATACGTTATAGTATGCGGACAACGTGGTGTTGATAGCGGAGGAGGGGAGAGGTTAAGATCGATGATTGTAAGGTTGGAAAAGTATGCAGAAAGGAAAGAATTAGAGATAAATACGGAGAAGATAAAAGTAATGAAGTTCAGGAAGGGAGGGGGGAGGAGAAAGAAAATGGTGTGGAGATGGAAGAGAAAAAGGTTAGAGGAAGTGAGAGAATATAAGTATATAAGATACACAGTTCAAGGGAACAGAAGACAGAAGGTGGATATAAGGGAAAGAAGGAAAAGGCAGCATTGGTGATGAAGAAAGTATGGGGAATAGGGAAGAGGGTGGAAAAAAGATTGGAAAAGAAAAAGTGTATGGTGGTTTAACGTATTGGTCTGGATGGTGATGGGATATGAAGTGGAAATATGAGGATGGAGAAAGAGAAAGGAGGTGGAAGGATTGCAGGAAAGATTTTTTAGATGGACAATGGGGTTGGATTGGAGAACGCCAAGGTATATGATAAGGTATATGATAAGGGAGGAGCTGGAGAAAGAGAAATTGAGAGAAAGGGCAGGGAGAAGGACATGGAAATTTGAGGAAAGATTAGTGGAGAGAAAAAGGGGAGAGGTAGCGAGGAAATGTTGAGAAGAAATGAAGGAAATGTGGAGTAGAGGTAAAGTAATAGGAAAATGGGAAAGGGAGAGGGAGAAGTGTGTAAGGGGATAGGGAATAAGGGAGAGGGAGGGGGAGAGGATTAAGTACGAGAAGATAGTAGAGAAAGAGAGAGAGAGAGAGAGAGAGAGAGAGAGGGAGAGAGAGAAGGGAAAACAAAGAGAAGAAAGATAGGAAAAGATAGGGATATCTAGGTATAATAGGTGGTATAGGCGAATGAAGAGGAAGGGTATACCGAGATATCTAGAAAAAGGATTGGCTGAGGAAAGATGAAGGATGATAATTAGGTTTAGGCTAGGTAATGACTCCCCAGAACATACAGAGAGGGAGTAGACATAGAGAACCCGGCACCACGGAGAATAAAGGTGCCGGTGTTCCCCCATCATGAAGTAAGTGAGGTGGGTGGTGTTCATACCCCGCCTAGAGGAGCACCGCTCTTCAGTGCACGACAGGGGGAGGAAATGACAAAATTCTTCCCCCTCAAATAAGGGATAGTGCGGGCGCAAGCCCAGGCCGGGGAGGCGTATGAAAACCATACCAAAATACCACCCATGCGCCTCCTCACACGATCAAGGTGAACACCCGAGGGGTTTTAGTGGTAAGGCGGCGGGCCCTTAACAACCAACGACCCGTCAAATCCCATACTACCTCGTCCGGAGGGCGGGGATGTCTTTAAAAGATTTCCCCTCGTATAAAAAAAGGTAATGAAATGGGGAGAGGGTAGGTACTGGGAAGAGGAGGAGAAGAGGAGATGTAAAGTATATGAAGGAGAGGAGGAGACGTGGGAGCATATATGGGAAGGATGTAGGAGAGGAGGTGACGAAGAAGTGAGGAGTTAGCAGGAGATGGTAAAAAGGATTTTGGGAAAAGAAGGTGAGGGGGAGGAGTGGATAAAGGAGATAGAGAAAGCGAGGAGTAATAGAGGAGGGGGAAGCAGAGAGGATGAATGAGGGGATGTATGTGTTCGAATGAGATAGAGGGAGAGGGAGAAAGAGAGAAAAGGAAGCGAAAGGTCCAAAGCGAGCGAAATTGAGGAGAAAGATAACTGTAGAATAAGATAGAATAAGCTAGATATAAGTTAATAGTAAGCGGAAGTAGGAGATAGGAAAGGTTCGGAAAGAGAGAGGTGTGTCTGTGGTGAGTAGAAGTGTGCGAGAAAAGTTGGCTGTATGTATTGTACATTGTAACCCCATAGGGGAACAATAAAGACACTCTGTGCGCACACACACACACACACATACACACACACACACACACACACACACACACAGAGAGAGAGAGAGGGGAGAGAGGGG